AAAAAAAAAAAAAAAAAAAAAATTTTGGCCAGGCACAGTGGCTTACACCTGTAATCCCAGCACTTTGGGAGGCCAAAGTGGGAGGACTGCTTGAGGCCAAGAGTTCAAGACCAGCTTGGGCAGCACAGTGAGACACTGTCTCTACAAAAATAAAAAATTAACCAGAGCTCAAAAAATCTGAATCTAAGGACAGCAGAGCCAGTTGGCTCCCAGAGGTGATGTGAGGATTTGCATGTGCTTTACATATTTGTCTGGGGCCAGTTAGTCAACTGCTAAGGAGACCAAGATCACAGGAAAAGCCCCCTCTACTGTTACATAGCCCTTCAAAAATCTAACAGAATTGGGCATTGCTCTGGTGCACTATGGTCAGACATCCCCAAATCATGGGACAAGAGGCATGTATTACAACCCACCCTGTACCAAAAAAAAAAAAAAAAAAAGATGGCTCCCAATAATTCAATGAAACATAACAAGAAAACACAAATTGGAAGTAGCAGTAGAAGTAAAACAGGAAAGCACACAACATGAAGTCACTAGTAAGGCTAACAGAAAAAAATAACACTATATATATAAGTCCCTCACATGTGTATAACTTGACTACTTGCCCAAATCTCAGTGCCCTCAAAATAAAAACAAACCAAATGCTGGGAGAAGAAAAATTTTCACGCCTGCAGTCTCAGCTACTTGGGAGGCTGAGACGGGAGAATCGCTTGAGCCCAGGAGGTCAAAGCTGTGGTGAGCCATGAGTGCTACTGCTCTCCAGCGCCTCTCTAAACAATAAATATTTTAAATTTTGAAAGAAAATAAACCACCTGTTCACTTTTACCCAAGAAGCTAAGAAAGAAAAAAAAAACTACTTGATAGATAGTGGCAGAAAACAAGGTTTAGGGGGCTTCTGGTGCTGGCCACCTGGGAGGGGTGCTAGCTGCCTGGTGAGGTGCTGGCCACCCGTGTGGGGTGTTGGCCACCTGGGAGGGGTGCTAGCTACTTGGTGGGGTGCTGACACCTGAGAGGGGTGCTGGCCTGGTGGGGTGCTGGCACCTGGGTGGGTGCTGGCTGCCTAGGAGGGATGCTGGCATGTGGGTGAGGTGCTGGCCGCCTGGTGGAGTGTTGTTCACATGGGAGGGGTACTGGCCACCTGGGTGGGGTTCTGGGCACCTGAGAGGGGTGCTGGCTACTTTTTCAGTTTGTGGAAATTCATACACCTAAACACCTACACTACACACCATCCTCTGAGTATGTTCACTCAGTATTTTTTTAAAATGGCTTTTTAAAACAGGCTCTGGCTGGGCGCGGTGGCTCGGCCTGTAATCCCAGCACTTTGGGAGGTGAGAGCATTGCCTGAGCCCAGGGTTTCGAGACCAGCCTGGGCAACATGGTGAGACCTCATCTCTACAGTAAATTAAAAAATCAGCCAGGCATGGTAGCGGGTCCCTGTAGTTCTGGCTACTTGAAAGGCTGAGGCGGAAGGATCACCTGAGCCAAGCAGGTCGAGGCTGCAGTGGCCGGGAGCGTGCCACTGCACTGCAGCCTGGGCAACAAGAGTGAGGCTCCAAATCAAAATCAATCTCAGTGGGGCAGAGTGAGACTCCAACTCAAAAAAAAATAAATAAATAATAATCAAGCAATAAGTAAATAGAGCCGGGCTCGGTGGCTCAGCCTGTAATCCAGCGCCTTTGGGAGGCTGAGGTGAGTGGATTGCCTGAGCCCGCGGGTTCGAGACCCGCCTGGGCAGCGAGACCTCATCTCTACAATAAATCAAAAAATTAGCCGGGGGTGGTAGCGCGCGCCTATAATTCCGGCTACTCGTAAGGCTGAGGCGGAAGGATCGCCGAAGCCCAACTGGTCGAGGCTGCGGTGGCTGGCAGTGTCCACTGCACTCCAATCTGGGCGACAGAGTGAGACTCCGACTCAAAATAAATAAATAAATAAATAAGTAAGTAAGTAAATAAATAAATAAATAAGTAAAAAATAGGCCCTGGGTGGGATTGGCAGTTGAGGGAAACTGCGGGGTGGGGGCGCACAACAAGGGTACCTGACTCATGAACATTTGTATACCTAACCCTGAATTGTACCCCACATCTTTAAAATAAAAAGTTTAAAAGTTAAAAAAAACCCGGCCGTGTTGAATGTTTCATTGATCATGTCCATGCCACCCCGCCTCTGCCTCGCACAAAATTAAAGTCCACACTCGGCGTGACGTGGTGCCACGTTTCCTCCACCTCTGACCCCTCTCACAGGACGCGTGGGCCTGGCCCCCACGTCCCGAGGTCTGGACCACACTCCGCTACCCGGGCCAGAGGCCACACAGCGCTAACGCGGACCTGGCGGCCTGGCAGCGACTCAGCCTGGGCGAGACACATGCCGGGCGTCCAGGACTCGGAAGAAAAAAGAAGGCGCCACTTCGAGCGTCATTTCTCGCAGACATCACTTATGCTGAAATGACGTTTCGGATTCTTGGGATAAAATTAAATGTATTATGAAAATTTGTGACACCTGTTTCTTGACTTTTTCTACGATGGTTTCCAGAACAGTCTGTCACAACTGTGGCAAACATCGCCGGAGGCCGCCGTCACCTGTCCTCGGAGAGGGGCGGGGGTGGGCGGAGCGGAAGCGGCGCGTTTGCGACGTTTGCGCACGGACCGTGCGTGAGAGCGGACGGGCGTCTGGCGAGGGGGCGGGGCGAAGGGCGGGTCCAGACGAGCGTGAGGGCGGGAACGCGCGCGCACGCGCGCGCGCGGGGAGGCACCCCCCCCCCCCGAGGCGACAAGGAGCATG